ACTTTCTTATGCATGAGATTGTTAGAATCAAAAAAGAATTGAAAATCGATCAATGTGAAAAGATCAGTGTCATCAACAATATTAGTTTTAACATAGGGAAATTCATTTTCATAGAATATCACATTTACGGATATAGAAATTTCTCTAGAATGTAAATCAAGAGTCACATAACCTTTGGTGCCAGGTTTATATCCAAGGAAAACACTTTTTCTGGCTCTAGGATCTAGCTTCAGTACGGTTGTTATGAATTGTAGATGTGAAACAAAGACAACCAAACATTTTTAAATCATTAAGAATAGGAAGTTGATTATGCGAGAATTTGGAATGGAGATTGGTTCCTTATGGTTTTACTTGGCGACTGTTGATTAGGTAGATAGCATGAACAACGAGCATAGGACCAAAAACATTTTGGAAGATTGGCTTGAAATAACAAGCTACGTGTGACATTCATTATGTGTTGATGTTTCCTCTCTACCCTTCCATTTTGTTGAGGTGTCTCTACACAAGAAGTTTGATGAATAATACCATTTTTATCATAGAATTCGGGATAAGAAAACTCTTTCCCATTGTCGGTTCGAAAATTTTAATATTACGACCAAATTGGTTTTTAACAAGGATAATAAAATTGTTCAATAGACTCCTAGTCTCATGTTTATTCTTCATAAGAAAAAGCCATGTGTGTCTAGAGAAATCATCAACAATAGTAAGAAAATATCTATGACCATGTATAGAAGAAATACCAATGGGACCCCATATATCTATATGAATCATTTCAAAAATTGTACTGGAAACATGAATATTGTTATTAAAGGGAAGTTTATGTTGCTTGGCCGAATGACATACATCACAAATTTTTTCAGTGCTATTATGAATGTAAGGAAAATCTTTAATCATATTTTCAATTATCTTGCTAGAAGGATGTCCCAATCTGTTGTGTCAAAGATTGGAAGTGGAATAATTTCTGCTGCGAGTATTAATACTGGTGTTGTCATCAGTAGGGCACAATTGAACTATTATTACTGATGTTATTAATATGAGACCAAGAAAAACAAGTATCTTGTTTACGTAAACAATACAAGCCATCTTTCAGATCAAGCATGCCCAATCATCTTCAATGTAAGAACATCCTGAATCTGCAATGGTTAGAAGAAAAAATCAATTTACAATTGGAATCAATAATCAGCTTTTGAGCGTAAATTATATTAAATTCAAAATTGGGAATATGAAGAACATTATAGAGTGTAAGGCTATTTGAAATACAAACCGTGCCAAGCATATTCAAGCAGTTGACATGATTACCATTAGGTAATTTCACATGCACAGTCCGATTTTAGTAAAAGTTAAAAAATGATTTTTATTGTAAGCTACATGATCAGTAGCTCGAGTGTCTATAATCCAAGATGAACAGAGAATACCTTTGGAGTCTTGTTGATCACCATTATTATTTTTAAAGCTGATTGACCCTATGAGTAGTGTCTTGATTCTTTTCTTGCGAAGTTTTAATAGTCGTTGAACTTGTTCACCTGTCACTGACTATTCCGAACAATGTGCACTTGATTTTTTTATTCTTCTTCTTTCAAAACGTTGTCGATCATAACGGTGTTGACAACGGAATCATTTCGTTATTTTTAAACCATGGAGGGAATCCGTGTTTGGCATAACATTCATCAACGAGTATGGTGCAATTTATTGCAAAAAGTACACTTGTTTACCATAGTTGGAATTCCTCCCACGTCCACGTCCTTGGTTCTTCCAAGATCCACGTCCTTGAGTTTTCCAATTTCCTTGATTGTTAAAATTCACAATAGGTCCTTGATTAGCAGCTGTCAAAAGAGTTTTGGCATCAACGTGACTCACTCCCGCCAATTGTCGTTCTTGTTGCGGAATTAACGAAAAACACGATTGATTCCTGGGAGAGACTCCATTAAAAGAATTTGAGATTTTGCGAGTGGTGAAGACGTCATTTAATCCCTTCGGAAAACATATTACATGTTCGGATTCACGATAACGAGCAATGATTTTGAAGGCTTCACAAGAACATTGCAGATTGCGTGTACAACTAGGAATGGGACGCAAGGATTCCAACTCTTCCCAAAGAGTTTTGAAATCAGTATGGAATTCGAAACGCTTCTTTCTCCTTGCTTAATGGAGTGCAATTCCTGTAGCAGATCGAAGTCCTAAAATGGTCTCCTTTTGAGAATCGTTCCTTGAGATCTTCTCAAAGATCTCTTGCATTATCAATATATACGAGTACTTTGAGCAATTTGATCACTTAAAGTTCGAGTTATCCAAGAGAGTACCATGACATTGCATCTCTCCCATGAGTCATGAAGAGGATCGTCTTCTTGGGGAATCTTGATGGCTCCAGTGATGAATTTTAATTTGTTTTTTGAAAGAAGAGCTCTGCGCATACTCCTACTCCAAGAATGGTAATTCGTACCATTCAATTGCTTTGAAACAAGAATCATTCCAGGATTCTCACCTGGGTGCAAATAATACGGGCTTGAAGGATTCAAAGATTCGTCAATCACGGCTTGTGTTTCTCTATTGCTATTAGCGGTTGAAGAATTGACGAAGCCATCAAGAAACGAGAGAAAGATAGAAAAGAGAAACAGAAAAGATGCAGCGGAGGCGGAGCGGGTGTTAACCCGCTCCGATACCATAACGTAAAAATATGGATCCCATTGAGAATTTGGGAGAAAATAGCAGAGAAGAAAAAACTGATCTAATTCATATACTGATCGAATACAAAATGAAAATCCAATATGTTTGAGGAAGAAAAGAAGGTTAAATATAAAAAGGAAAAAAGTCAAATATGCAGTTAGTCAAACCTGCATAAAACAATATTAACAAATGGAAAAGGTACACGTGTAACTAATAGACTAATAGAAGCCAAGCAACAGTGACTTGGAAGTGAAACCCATAATTGGTGTGCTTGGTTCTGATATTTGGATTTTGATATATATAGATCAGATGTGACGAGGGTTTTGTGAATCACTCAAACAATGCACCATTGTGCGGGATTAAGTCGTCTGAAATTTCATACCTAGTTTCGGGCCATCACTTTCAAGTTTCAACGTTAAAACTCCTCTGACGTAGAAACCACTCCTGAAAATTTGTAAATGAATATGTAATTTTTTATTTATAAATAATAAGAAGATCATTTTAAAAATCATTAATAATAAAAGTAAACTTGATATATTAATAATATTATTTTAAAATTTTAATAAAATAAACTGAATTTATTATTTTATTGATCTGTATAATTATGTTACAAATATTTTATATTATAAAAATCGAAGGAAGTATCTTGTAATATTTTACAAAATAAAAGAATATTTTTTATAAAATACATAATTTTATGATTAAAAAGTTAATATAGCTAAGTTTTTATATTATAGTTAGTTGTTCTTTAGGGCCTCTTACAGGAGTGAAAAGATAAAAAAAATATCACCTTTTTTTTTACTATTAAAATTCATACGAGTCTTATATATTCACTTGTCAATTAAAATACTCCAATTCTTCGATTACATATATAATCACTTATCGATTAATTTTAAGTTAAAACATAGCACAATTTGAATTTTATTCATAAATAATACTGTTTTCAAAAATATTTACCAAAATAGCACCTCTGTAACTTTATTTACACAACTAGTACTGTTTACTGTTCACGTAATAAAATAATATTATTTCGCGCAACTATTTACTGTTGACGTATTAAAATAATATTATTTTGCGCACTGAACTCTCGCTCAAGCGAAGAAAGCCTTCGCTTGAGCGAGGAAATCTGTAACAAAGGGATAATCTGGGGTAAATTCTCGCTCAAGCGAAGAAACTCTCGCTTGAGCGAAAAGTATGATCGATTATTATCCAATTATAGTCGATCACTTTGACATATATGACTTTAGATAGCGGTTATTTGGCCAACCGCTATCTAAACTACTACATTAGAAAGCGGTTAAAGCCTAACCGCTATCTAATATATATTTTTAAAAGCAGTTGTTATTAACCGCTATCTAAGGTGACTCAAGCGAAAAACACATCGCTTGAGCGAGGAAACCTGGAAAAATGGGGGATTCTCGGGTTCTGTCTCGCTCAAGCGACATTATGAACGCTTGAGCGACAAAAGTAAAGAATCCAATGCTGAGTTACCCACCTAAGTTAGGATTCCAATCTTGGATTCCCTGCATTGGGTTAGACAAAAAGTTCAAGCAAACTGATCTTATTCAATCATTTGATAAAACGAAGATCTTATTCAATGTATGTTTAAAAAGTTCAAGCAATCTGATTTTAAAGAGTATTTTCATAACTGCTGCATTAATTAATCTGTTGAAAGTTTGTTTTAATCTGTTGAAATAGCCGTTTCAATCTGTTAAAAGTCCTTTCAATCCATTAATACGTTCTTGATTCTTTAACAGATTTGTTTTAGCTGATACTACAACGGTTATATCAATTAAAACACTTTACAAAACTTTTCTAAGTTTGATTCAATCGATTGTTTCGTGTTTTAATCGATTGATATACTGCAAAACTTTCTTATAAAAACTTTCCAAGTTATTTTAGCTGATAAAAAGAAGTTTTAATCGATTAAACCTTTGTACAAACTTTTTCGAAGTTGTTTTAATCGGTTGAAACGCGTTTTAATCGATTGAAACTCTGTACAAAATTTTTCCAAGTTATTTTAATCGATTGAAATACGTTATAATCGATTGAAACAGATCTGATCGGTCATAACTCAATTCTGATCGATCATAACCAACTCTGATGGGTCATAACTGCATTCTGATCGATCATTCTGACCCTTGAAGTGATTTTAATCGATTGAAACGTGTTTTAATCGATTGAAATGTGTCTCAAAACGGAAGAATTGTAATTATAAAAAGTGATTAATTAATCCAAAAAAAACACTGTTTGCATTTTTTATTTACCAAACCATATTCTTTTTTCTCAAGCAAGGCAGAAAAGTTTGGAAGTGTAGAGTGCTCTGCAACCTCCCAATGGTGTAGTTTTGTTCCATTGCATTGTCCTTTTGAATTTTGGTGCCAAATAAATGCAAGTGGTGGTAATACTATTGTTGATTGATGTTTTGGGGTGTATGCATGATTGGTGCGCTGATTTTGTGTTGCACATGTTGAGCAAAGGTGGATGCTGTGCACACTGCTTTGAGCAATATAGGGTTCGGGGACATTGAGATTGTGATTGCTGAGACAGGATGGCCCTCTCGTGGGGACACCAATGAAGTAGGAGCCACTGTTGAAAACGCCAGGGCCTACAATGGAAACCTCATTGCACACCTCAGATCAATGGTTGGCACTCCTTTCATGCCTGGAAAATCTGTGGACACGTTCATTTTTGCACTCTATGATGAGGATTTGAAACCTGGTCCAGCATCTGAGAGAGCATTTGGCCTGTACAAAGCTGATCTTACCATGGCATATGATGTTGGCCTAGACAAGTCTAGCTCTAACCATAAGGTCAACAAATTTCTGCTATTCCACATGCATACACAGTGTTGTTATTTTAGGAAGAATTTCAATTGATTTCTGGTTACATGCTAACATCTAGTCTCCTTAATTTGTGGTTCCACAGAATCCACCAACTAGTCCTGAAAGGGAAACACAGTGGTGCATCCCAAAAGTGGAAGTGAGTGAGGCTCAATTGCAGACAAATATTGATTATATTTGTACTAGCCAAGTTATAGATTGTGGACCAATTCAACCAGGAGGTGCTTGTTATGAACCTAACACAGTATTATCTCATGCTGCCTTTGCCATGAATCTCTACTACCAAAAGGTTGGAAGAAATCCATGGAACTGTGATTTCTCTCAAACAGCAATGCTTACATCTCAAAATCCAAGTAAGTTTTCTTAGCACCATTTTTCTGAAATCTATGCCTAAGAAGCAAATATAATAGAAATGGAAATTAATCCTACAAAACCGAGGTGAAAATTGTATACTGTCATCATTTTTCTATTTGTTAAGAGGTTTTTTCATCTTATCCTTCCACTCTTAATTTTCTCAATAGATACTGTCATCATTGTATACTGTCACCACATATTTCAATCACTTATCGCTCGAGCGAAAGTACGCATCGCTCGAGCGAAACAGAACCCGAGAGTCCCTCTTGTTTGAAGGCTTCTTCATCCCCCATTTTTCCAGGTGTCCTCGCTCAAGTGATGTGTTTTTCGCTTGAGTCACCTTAGATAGCGGTTAATAACAACCGCTTTTAAAAATATATATTAGATAGCGGTTAGGCTTTAACCGCTTTCTAATGTAGTAGTTTAGATAGCGGTTGGCCAAATAACCGCTATTAAAGTCATATATGTCAAAGTGATCGACTATAATTGGATAATAATCGATCATACTTTTCGCTCAAGCGAGGGTTTCTTTGCTTGAGCGAGAATTTACCCCAGATTACCCCTTTGCTACAGATTTCCTCGCTCAAGCGAAGGTTTTATTCGCTTGAGCGAGAGTTCAGTACGCGAAATAATATTATTTTATTACGTGAACAGTAAACAGTGATAGTTGTGTAAATAAAGGTGCAGAGGTGCTATTTTGGTAAATATTTTTGAAAACAGTATTATTTATGAAAAAAAGTCGCACAATTTCTGTATCATAATATTATAAATTACAGGTGTCTTCATTTGTAGTAATCATAGTAGGTTGGCCAACATGAATTTCCATGACCGAACTTCGAATACAGTCCAAATCTTATTGTGTGGTATGCTAAGTGCTAAATTTTGCCTTGTGTAAGTGAAGACTGACTTCTCATGGTTTGCCTGGTCTGTGTGTTTTGTGGTCCAGGCCGAACCGTCTTTCTAGTTATCCACATGTCGTAGGTCCCATCTAACTAAGTCGTTCCAAGAAGTTTCTTTTGGCAAATTTTAAATCTCATGTTTCCCTGAAAATAACTATTGTCCTTGCACGTTTCTATAGAGTCTACTCTATTGTGAACTAGTGGATATGAATCTTCTGTTTGTATCTGGTTGGAATACATGCCGCGTTGGATGGTTCAAAATCAACACTTCCTGCGCGCTCCGTCCAATCCTCGACTTCCAAAGCAGACACTTTCTTCCAAAGAAAAGTAGGTTTGCACACTAACTCAATCACCTACAAACTTATCTGATAAGAATTGTCTAAGCCTTATAAGGACTACATATTAGTCATATATCTACTTGATGTTGAATTTCGATACACCTACTCCTAATAAATACCGTGCCTAAGAATAAACATCTAGAGTATGGACAAATTCGGATGATCCAATAGCATATATTTTAATACCCTCTTAAAATTTCACTCTATATATAGGTAATATTCTACTGGAAACCAACCCATCTTTTCCTCTAACATAGTTAACTAATGCATGGAAACAATTGATCATGTGAATATGAAGTAGTTGCTTAACAGTATGAACTTGGGTGAACATTGAATTTTATCTGTCCGTTTAATGTCTAAATTTGATGTTCTAATTATTCGCCATTGAGTTGTTCATAGATACCACAACGAAGATTGACGTTTGGTCAAAGTGTGACTGCACAGTTACTGTATCAGCCAGTTCTCAGTTTGGGTATATTTGTGATCAGCACAAATAACCATTTAACCTATCCCCGTTGCATGCTTTATAGAATTATAGGTTGGACAATGCAAATGATCATTGAGCTTATAACACGATTCTAACCATACTTATACAAAAATAATCAACTAATAAGATTTCTTATCTTGCCAGTCAATACCCTTGTTATCTCACATGTTAGGACGAATGTTGGGCATGAATGAAGTGTGGATTCACATTTGGAATGAAAATAATCCTATATTACAAGCTGCTACTATTGCTAACTGCTACATGATATTGAAACAAAATTTTTCATTCATTTTATTTTCTACCAGGTTTGTTCATATCCAAGACTAATCTATCTACGACCTGGTCCTCCTCACAATTACTTCACACCAGTTGGAGCTACAAGAATATCCCTTCCTTATTTCGTTACAAGATTCCCAACTTTGTCATTTTGTATAGAGTCACCATCTTCATAATGACAAGATTCAAGTTCCATGTCCCCACCAGAATTCTTAGCATCCAAGCACTATTAATTTCGGTTTTACTGCCTTCTTTTCCTCGAAACTTTCACCCATATGACATGTAATAAGACCGACGTTGCCTGTCCATACCCAAAATTTTCAGCAAAAAGGTTAATATGTTATGTGAGCCGAACATATATAGAAGCAAAATGCATTTCCTTTCAACAAATCCTCATGCACTAACAATGACTTTGCTTTTCTTTTATTTACTCTTGTCCCTTGTTCTTATTAATGGCAACGATGAAGCTACAAGTGTAGACAATAAAGTTATATCTATTGGTGCAATCATTGATCGGAATTCTCGCATTGGGAAAGAACAGCAAGTAGCCATGGAGATTGCAGCTCGAAGTTACAATAGCACTTCAAAGACCTTTAAGTTGGCTATCTATTTTCGTAACTCCACCACTGATCCTCTCACAGCCATCAATCTTGGTTAGTATATCATGCATTGGCTAACTAAAAATTTCAACTTTATATGACTTCAGGTAAACGTTTTCAAAGGAGAAAATGTATTTCAGATTCTTCAAGAGTTTATCAAAAGTTGTTAGTCTTTCTATTTAAAATGTGATGATTTTAGTCTTTATATTTATACAACGTGGTGGAAATTAGTTTGGATCCAATATACTTCATTTTGACCTAACCAAGGAGGAAATCCATCATATTTCAGAAATGTGAGAACCAAAATGATCACTATTAAGACGTAGGAATTAAAATCAATCAATTTTGGCGAGATTGAAAAGCACATTTTACCCTTTCTTAAATGTGTAGATTGAAGAATGTGAGACCCTTTCTTGCAGCTGAAGAGATGATTAATAAGCAAAAGATGCAAGTGATTATAGGGATGCACAGATGGTCAGAAGCAGGTCTAGTTGCTGAAATAGGAAGCCAAGCTCAAGTTCCTATCATAGCATTTGCACAACCTACCATTACCCCACCGTTGATGGCTAAGCGATGGCCTTTTTTGGTGAGAATGGCTAAGAGTGGTTTAGCATATATCAAATGCATTGCAGTTATAGTGAAAGCTTTTGGTTGGCAGCGAGTAGTAGCTATATATGAAGATGATGCATATGGAGGAGATCATGGTATGCTAGCACTGCTATCTGAGGCCCTCCACGATATGAGTTCATTGATTGAGTATCACTTAGTTCTTCCGCCTACTTCTTCTCTACATGATCCAGGAGGGTTTATACGTGAAGAGCTGTTGAATTTGTCGCAAACCCAATCTCGCGTGTTCATTGTGCTGCAATCTTCATTAGAAATGGCTATTCATTTGTTTAAAGAAGCCTCAAAAATTGGACTCTTGGACAAAGAATCAGCTTGGATACTCCCAGAGAGCATAACAGATTTGCTGGACTCTGTCAACAAGTCTGCTATTTCCTATATGGATGGAGCTTTAGGAATCAAGAACTACTACTCCGAAATAAGCACTGAGTACCAAGATTTTGAGTCTCAATTCCGGAGAACATTTTGGTATCAGAATGTTGAGGAAGATAACCGCTACCCCGGATTTTATGCATTACAAGCATATGATAGCATTAAACTTGTGACTCAGGCAGTAGACAGGATGAACAGTAGAAACACTAGCAGCCCAAAGAATTTAATAGGAGAAATATTGTCTAGCAGTTTTTTTGGTTTAAGTGGTCATATTCAATTCGAAGATGGGAAACTCCTGCAGAATTCTATTTTAAGGTTAGTAAACGTGGCTGGGAAGAGTTACAAGGAGCTATGCTTTTGGAGTCAACAATATGGGTTCACCACAAACCTCCCTACAGGAGAAGGTGGATATTATGGTGGTGGTAATACAAACTGTTTCAGTGGTGTTCGGTGGCCTGGGAATCTGAAGCAGGATCCAAAAGGCTGGAACATGCCTACTAAACAAAATCCATTGAGAATTGCAGTTCGAAGCAGAACCTCTTTTTCCAAGTTTGTCAAGGTTGATTATGATCACGATGGCAAACGTGCAACATATAGTGGATTTTGTATTGATATTTTTTGGAGTGTGCGTGAGCTTTTGGGGTATGACTTGCCATATCGGTATTATCCCATCGATGGAACCTATAATGATTTGGTTCAGCTTGTCTATAACAAGGTATCGAATTCTTTCCCTTTTCCTCCACTCCGATAGACAGGCTAATACTATTTCTTTCTTCATCTTTAGTTTTCTAATCTTATTCTTATCATATGGTAAGATATCTCATATTTCTCTCCATTGGCTTTACTCATTGAAAACTTCGTTGGGCATTATCTTCACAGAGAAGCCGTCAAGTATGAGTATATGACAAATTCACATATAATTGGTAGCGATTAAGCATATTTCTATTTGTACTAAATACTACTTAACTGTTTTAAATTTAGAGTATCATTTCGCTCCTGCTTTATTGATTTGGACAACTATTTCTGTTGTCTTGCGGTTAAATAATGATGGAAGAGTTATGATGCCGCCGTTGGGGACATGACCATACTAGAGGAAAGAATGCAGTATGTGGATTTTACAGTGCCATATGCAGAATCAGGATTGACAATGATAGTTCCGTCAAAGTCTGAAGAGTCGGCATGGATATTCACAAAGCCCTTTACCTGGGAACTGTGGATGGTTACAGGTGCCATTTTGATTTACACAATGTTAGCAGTTTGGTACCTTGAGAGAGAATCCAATCCTGAGTTTCATGGTAATTGGAAGAGCCAAATCAGCACAGCTCTTTGGTTTACCTTCTCCTCTTTGTTCTTCGCACATAGTGAGTATCAATCTTCGAATTCCTAGCAGTTTTGATTTTAAATAGAACCATGCAAGGCATGAGAACCTACTAAAGAAAATATCCTGAATGGAAAATGTGAATTAAACTCAATAACAGTGATTTTCATGATGCAGGGGAAAAAATGAATAGCAACTTAACTCGCATGGTGATGGTCTCATGGCTCTTGCTAGTACTGATCCTTACCTCATGCTACACTGCTAGCCTTTCTTCAATGCTCACAGTTAAAAAACTAAAACCAAATGTCACAGATATTCAGTGGTTGAAGAGGAACAACATGAAAATTGGTTGTGATGGTGACTCATTTGTTAGGTCGTTCCTTGAGAACGTAGAAAAGTTCAAGCCTGAGAACATCATTAATGTTACTGATGAATACAAGTATGATGATGCATTTCAAAATAACAGCATAGCAGCTGCCTTTCTTGAACTTCCATATGAAAAAGTATTCATTAGTGAAGACTGCAACAGCAACCGATACACTGGTTCCACTCCCAGAAACAGATTTGGAGGACTGGGCTTTGTAAGTGATAATACTATTTCAGATATTAATTCCCTTCACCAAAATATAGAAGAATAATGGAATATATTATAAATGGAAAAAAAAAAAAAACTCATGAAGTGAATTCTTTTCTTTAGAGTGAGCAAATAAGGGTGTACTTATCTTTGATAATAGAACTATATTTGGAATGATAGAAGGAGATGGAATATAATGAAGATAGGATGGAACGGAACCTGATGAAACGCATTATATTCCATTGCTTCCATCCAAAACCTCTCTTTTCCTCCCTCCAAAATAGGGGCATGGAACAAAATATCCATCATGGAATAGTCCTTTTTATTTCATTCCATCATAAAATATCCAAACAACAGAATATAGTTTTATTGCATTTCATTCCATTCCATTCCATTCCATTCATCATTATACAAATTTAAATCCATAGTGTGTGTTTGTGCAGTTTTTCTCTTTGCTTGAGCTGTTGCTTTCAATTTGAGAAATGTTAGAGAATCAGAATTTTTCCATTAGAATTTTTTGACGGACAGTTGAACATAATTATCTTCATATCCACTTAATCCAGTCAAAATATAGAGTAAAATTTTATAGATATTTAGTATTACTCTTCCAGTTATGACAGAATTTTCAAATAACGTAACACAGATGTTCCAGAAAGGCTCGCCATTGGCCAGAGACGTGTCAAAAGCTATATTAAATCTGTCAGAAACGGCAGAGCTGAAAAGGTTGGAAGAGAAGTGGTTATTTACCTCCAACAAGTGCTCCAACATGACCCCTGACACCGACAATACGGAAAGTTTGAAGCTGAGAAGTTTATGGATTCTATATGTCATCTCTGGTGGTACTTCCACCATTTGTGTTCTTCTATCAACCATTCAGTCTCTAGTAAAATACTGTCAAAGCCAATCCGTGGCACCAGAAGACACTGACAACCCAAGTGATCCTAATGCGTGGGAAAAGGTGATTTCACATGCAAAGCAGATGTTCAACAAAAAGATCAATAATTCAAGTGAGGCACAAGAACAGGTTGTAACTGACTGTTCTTCTAGATTGCGTCATGTGAGAATGACCGATTCTCCTGAGCTTCAGCAGGAAATGGCTTCTCCAGTACCTGAAAATTCAACGCTCCCTTCTCCACCACCTGAGGTACACATTACAAATTACAATACAGACTTAGGAATCGCCAAAACTTCAAAGTAGTTGCTCTACTAGACAATTTACATACACTTCCAGGACTCTTGACTACCTCCTTTTTCTTTTTTTTTTTGCAAAACATATCAATCAACCTTGTGTATAGTTTATAGCCTTTTCACGAATAACAACATCCATGGTTGATAATTAGCTCTTCAACTCTCCCAATGTGCTTAAACAGAACAGTTCAAGAAGCTGCATTGACAACTATTCTATCTGTTACTACCAAAAATGTAGCCATAGTTACGAACGTCTTCAATATATGAAACATACATATAAGGGGAAAAACCTATCATAGTATCTTTAGTTTTTTAATTGAATAAGGTGTCCAGTATGCTTGGATTCTGAAATATCACCTTCATATTATTAACACTAAGACTTCTTTGTTTTCTTTTAATCACTTATTCTCTTTTATTTTGCTCACTCTTTAACCTTTTTTTTTTTTATCGTGAGAATTTATTTTAATTTATAAAAATTAATAAATTCACTATACATGCATCTTTGAAATTGACTAATTTGTTTTATAATCAATACACAACCTATTTACTTTGATCCAAATGTAATGCTATATGTTTTTTAATTTCAAAATGAATTAAAACTATAACCCTAACTTGAATTTCATATGTTAAATAGATTAATAAGGAAGAAACATCAATTTCTTTTTTATTTAAATGGGACCATTGTAACGGACAAAAAAATTAGTTATAATTTTAATTTCTACATATTTACAAAATTTCTATTTTTAATCTTTTTTTTTAATTTTTAGTCCTTTAACTTTTAATTATCTATAAATCTGGTTTCTAATTTTTTTACGTAATTTTATCCTTAATTTCTTAGTTATATGTAATTTCATTTAAAATTTAATTTAATTATCTATAAAAAATTACTTTAAAAATAATACAATGATAAAAATACATTATATTTCTGACTTTATTTTAACATTTTCAAAGACTAACAATTTTATAATTAAAATTTTGAAATTAAATAAAGATACCACCAATAATTAAATTAAATCTGAAAATTTCATGAAAATTATGAGTAATAAAAAATTACAAAAACTAGAATTGTGGAAAGTATGAACTAGAATTATAAATTTTAAAAAATTAGACTAAAATTACAACGAAGGATAAAAATATATTGAAAATAAGTACAAGTAATTAAAAAGGGGGAAAATATTTAAACATGCGAGAAGATCAAACGCAGCGAATCAACTGTAGAAGATAAATAAAGATGGAAATGCAATTGGTGTGCTCGTGTAGATGTAGGGTTCCACCTGTGGGAGCAGGAGGTGTAAGCAGAAGAATAAGAATTGGGAGCGCCAGAGTGAAAAGAAAAGCAGTGACGGCAATGCGAGCGGTGGTTCAGCGCGTGGCCTCTGCCTCCGTCGAGGTCGAAGGCCGCATCGTATCCGAGATTGGCCCCGGTCTTCTCGTCCTCGTCGGAATCCATGACTCCGATTCCGATGCCGACGCCGATTACATGTCATCTTCATTTCTTCACCCCCTTTATATCCAATTTCAACTTTCCATTACTCAAATTAGTTTACTCTTTTAACAGATGCCGGAAGGTCTTGAATATGAGGCTGTTCCCGAATGAAAGTTCCGGCAAAGCGTGGGACCACAGTGTAATGCAGAAAAATTATCAAGTTTTGTTGGGTGAGTGAGTGATCAGTACTCGCATTTTCAATCTTAATTTTAGGATGTAAAAATTTACATTAATTCATTTCTTTTTTTTAACAGTGAGTCAGTTTACATTGTATGGATTCTTGAAGGGGAACAAGCCGGATTTTCACGTGGCAATGGCGCCTCAGAGAGCCAAACCATTCTATGCCTCTTTAGTTGACAGGTTTAGGAATGCCTATAATTCTGATGCAATCAGGGGTATGATATTTATGTTTCATGCAAACTTTCATTTCTCCTATAGTGTATCGAATTTAATTTCTGTCATTTTGAACAATTTTATTTGGTTAATTATTGATTAAAAATAACTGTTAGAATGACTTTTACTGTTTAATTGGAGAGAGGAAAGAAACATAGAAATAGGTATGGGAGAAAAAAGAAATTTATGAGAAATAAGGTGAAAATAAGATTTTTTTTTTTAAAAGAAAATCCGAAAAGAATAGACTGAAAATATAATTGGTAAATTATATGGATGGAAAAATAAAGATAGATATTTATTTAAAATATTGTAATGGGATATGGATAAAGTAGATCTCACATATTTGTCTTTTAAATAAAATTACGTTATATATTATGTCTAAGATTTATATATAATACATTTATTTTGGTTCTAAAAAAAATATTTTTATATAAAAATGTCTATATTTTAAGAGTCTTTAAGATTTAAAGTTTAGAGTACTAAATTCTAATTCTACTTTAATCCATTTGTTTTAGTCTTGGATTTCAATTTTATATAACTTTAAACTAGATTTCACCTTTTTACTATGTCACTTTAAAATATTGTATTTTATTATTAAGATTCAGGATTTTATATAAAGTTTAATTTTAATTTTAAAACTCCTACTATGTCACATCAGTTTGCTTGAATGGAAATATCTTATAATATATAAGTCTTAAATTTAAACAATTTCCTAAGATCTCCTCTGCATTTAACAAATCCTATAACATGTGGATAAAAAATAATTAAATCACGCTTCCTGTTGTATTTATAAAAATAATTATTATTAAAAAGTCACATTTCAAATTATATATACATAACTTAATTTATTATACTTGAAGTACAATCAATTATACGAAATTATAATGTATTATGTTTACTCTATAGCCAAATATATTATGTGTGACACAATTATACATGCAAACATGATCAATTACGCTCCTCCGTAATTTATTATATTCACAACTTGATAAATTATGTTTATAACATGCATATGATCGGTTTGTAAGTTTCGCTGCCCACAACAAACCAGTGTAAACACTCTAGGAAATGAATCATGAACCTCAATGAACAGTATAATTTTTTTTCTACTTTCAACTAATTTTGGCGAAAAATTCTACAATATTGGCTCCATTTTTTCATAGATTTTATGTGTTTTTTCCTTCCTATCGTTCATTCTAAACGGACATGCATTACGAAACCCAAAATATTTATCTTCTCTTCCGTCTGAAGCATTGCATGCCTCCTAAGCAGAGCGTTGAGGAACTTATTCTTAAGGAAAAAAAACTTAATAGGATTAGTGATTAGATAATAGAATTATTTTTTACAATATCAGTAAAAGCGTTATTCACTCTATTTTATTCGTTGTTTTGCTCTTCTTTCACTAATAAATTGAAATACCTATGCAGTTTTTTCTATTCATATATTAAAGACACGGGTTATAACTTTTTAAGTATTTTATGTAGTTAGAACTTAATATGTTATTCTGTGGAATTTACCATACGTACATATAGTGAGTTGGATTGAAATGTTGGACACGTTTTCGTCTGCAAAGATTCAGGGTATTATGAACTTGCAAGAAGTTATTTTCATTTTTCTCCCTTCCCTGACAAAGCTGAGGGACTGATATTAACAGGCTGTGTATTGGTCAATAAAGACGAATTACAGTAGAATCTTTTCACGCACTCTATTAAATGAAGGTATTGTTAATTCAAAAATTTGTTTGACATCTGTCCAATGCCTGCATTCATTCCTATCATCATTGTAACAACCAAGTCTTTTGGCTGATGGCGAATTAAATAATAAGAAGCATAATAAATTGTGAATACCCAAGATCATGGTGACTATTCAATTTGTTTTCCTTTCCCTTGGAAATAATTCTTTATGTGACTTGTCAGTACTGATTTCCTAGAAGTTTTAGTTATATTTGTTGCTCGGTTCATTTAAGATCAGCTGGAACCCGATCTTAAGCTCCTTTCAATTTCTTATGCAGATGGTGTATTTGGAGCAATGATGAAGGTAGACTTAAGCCACTCAATCCCTGCGCAGGTCTCTTAATTGCGTGACAAATTCTAATGATGCCCATGTTAACAATTCTCTCACTTGTTATGTTGAGCAGGTAAATTTGGTTAATGATGGACCAGTTACCATGCAGCTTGATTCACAATCGCCCAAGTGAGTTGATGATATTAATTTTGAATCTGAGATGTTTGTCTTTTCTGTTACAAGAATTTCATCAAAAGTTCAAATAATCCAGGAATGCCGTTGATGCAGCAGAGTCTTAATCGGTGTTTGATCTGGTTTTACGAAATTGAGCTTGAACTGTGGCTCTTCTGTCAGAATGACCAAATTTTAAGGCATTATTAGTGAAGTTCATTCTAGTTGAAGTTTTTACTCCCCCAATGTAGGGATCCCATATCGTAAACTATTCAGTTTAAGGAATGCCTTAGATTTTAGATTGTCCCTGACCGTCCTGCCTTGAAGAATCCTTTTTGAACGAAACAAACTAATAATGGATGCGATGACTACTAATCAAAAGTGTCCATATGCCTAAATAAGCTCATAATCAACTACTTCCACCAAAACTATTGTCAAAGGTTCCCCTACCCTCCGGATGATTATTGTAGACCTGAACTATAAATAAGATTTTGAGTCCTTCTCCTCCATGGATGATTTTAGTGTATGAGCAATGCGATATCTTCCTATTAAATCTTCTTATAAATGTTGTTACAAATTCAAAATTGTTTGCTGTCAATATTTATTAGTTAGTTACACCTAACTGCCACACGTTTTCCCTGGGGAAATTATTGATGCATATGCACCTCGACAGGGAGAGAAAAAATATATGCCTAGATGGGAACACTTTCCAATTTCAACCGCACAACTGTCAATGGTCATATTTTGTGTAGAAACTATTTGAGTTTTCATTTTCTACATGAAAGTTTGAGCAAACTGTCCGTAATTATAGGTGAAGTAACTTATATAAGAAATTTCATTTATATAACTTTTATAAATTACATCTAGTCTTTTACAATCGCTTAATATATTTTATTGGTGAAAGCGATACAAGTTTTTTAAGAGAATAAATTAGATCTAGTCTTTTATATAATTCTGTTTGATAAAAAAGGTTAGGATTAAAATTATTCAAAAAATCTTTTAGGTTTAATGATGGCCTTGTTTAAGTAAATAATATGTTCTTGTCACTACGAAAGAATAAATTTATTTCTTACTTAAAAGTTCTATTACAAAGTAAGTATATTTAAATTAATAATAAAATAAACTTATAAGTCTTTTAAAAAATTTATAACAAAACATTTTTAAATTGCAGACACAATTTTAATCCTGTGTAAAACTCTAGTTGGTAATGATTTGACTCATCTTTCAAAAATATTATTTTTTTTAAGAATAAAAATCTGAATACTATACTCGACATAAAAATGTGATAGATAGTTCATAAGCAAGTACTTTTTAAACGGTGACATCCTATTATAGCAAGAAAATCGACATATGTGGATATCTTCGAATAAAATCTATAATTGATAAAAAATGAAGACATTTAGATATGTGCGAGTAATTAATAAGAGTTTTGTTTTCTATTTGCTTATTAATGGAAGAAGGACGAATATTATGTATCAATATTTGTGTTAATCTTATTAATATTAAAACATCTATATATGTCATTTACCTTCTAAATTAATTTTTAAAAACTTAGTTTTGAATATTTCATTCTAATTTTAATGATTTCAATTATGAGTCATTTTTTTTCATTATTAAATAATCAAACTAAAATTTTTAACGAGAAAAACATCAAAATTTTGTATTAAGGTTTAATTTTATTTTTTATTTATACTTGTGGGAATAAATTTTGTGTTTGCGAATGCAATTTATTTGAACTTGTTTACAAAAATTAATTTTATTTATACTACTATTTTAGAGTATTTTGTTCGTTTTATACTTTAGGGTTATAGTTTTATTTGAAATTATATTTTAAAAAATATTTTTTGAGATAATTTTGTTTAAAATTCACAATTGTTTTATAATTTCGAGGTAAAAAATTTAATTTTTTTAATAATCATCCGACCAATAATGGGACGGACAACCGTTACATGCTTGTGAGATGTATCTTGACTCATGTCTTCGAGACAAACTCATAAAAACTTTTTCTGTAAAATCAACACCCAAATTTTATATTCAAAAAGAAAAGAGAAACTGTCACAGAGTTATAGCTTTCAATGAATGGCAGACAGAGACAGCACAACAAAAAAAGTGTGAAAAATGAGTGTTGCAAAATCAATCTGTATGTTCAAAATGGAGTTGTGAAGTGTGAAGTGAGCTGGATTTGAAGGACCTTTGCAGAGCCACACTTGCCCATCTTCCATGTGATCCTGCACCATTAACTTTATCAGAAAACGTCATGTTTGATGCAACCTCTTTGAATTGTCGCACAACGTCTTTAATGTTTTCTTGACTCTCTTTTCATGATCTCTGGTGGGACAAAGCCCTTATGCAAATTCTGCTTTGTTCACATTCTTCTGACCTTCATCATCTCTTTCTTTCTTCTACATAGCCCAACTCCTAATCCTCAATCTTTCTACTTGTAATTAATTAGCGGGTTGTCTACAAAGTTTGGTGTCTAAAGAATATATTACATTATTGAATATGAAGATCGTTATTGTCAAGGGATGAACTTTACTTCCACTTTTCCTTGTTCATTTCAAGTTTTCAATGGAGGATTAGTATAGCCCTAAAAAATTTTCAACTTGTCTTACGTGTGTGAATACAGAAACCTTGAGTTATGCATGAAAGTCCATTGTTGAATCCCGATATTCTGAAAATCTAGTACCATTATAGCCACCTTTTTTGGTGGAAGAACATTTAGTTGGTATATTCAAGCTGTAAAGTGCTGACCGTGGAAGTTATGTTGTTGAAATGGATCGACAATTTGAATTCAGAAGCATAAAACAAAAGTCAGGTCTTCAATAAATAATACATGCTGTTCATTTCTCTTATAAAAAAATATCACTTCACGTTATACCAAAGCTTCTAAGAGAATTGATTAAAATAATATATTCATATTTCCTCTTTTGGAAATAAATAAGAAGTGAGTAACATTAAAATAAAGCACTTAAAGCTACGTGCAAAGTACCATCCCAATCCATAACCTATTTTGGTGATGGGGAAAATGTATTCTATAAGATCACTTGGAAAATTACTACCTCCACCTAAACCCTCCATGTCTGGTAGGAAAAAAAAAAACAAAAGCCATCATTAATAAGTCGATTAAGATTTGCAAAAAGTGATTATTATTCCGTTGCCGGGACTTGAACCCGGGTCTTTCGGGTGAGAGCCGAATATCCTGACCAACTAGACTACAACGGATCAATTGTTAGCTCCAAACATATTGTTTTATTAAACACTAAATTTTATTTTCTTGTTTATCATATCAAGTATTATGAATATGTGTTTTTCATTTATTGATAAAAACAATAATACATTTTTAAAAATCATCAATAATAAAAGTAAATTTAATACATCAACAATATTATTTTAAAACGTCAACTAAGTTAACTATTTTTTATTTATATGTGTGATTTTATTTAAAAGAAGATGGAATAAGTATTTTTTTTTATCTTAGAATGTGGTATTTTATGTGTTTGCTTTAATAATTATGTAGAAAGACAAAACTATACAATATTTTATCTCTTTTTTTGTCTTTAGGTTAGAATCAAAATTCTACCTTGGTAACATGTAAGTTATATTACTTCTAGTAACTTTTTTTTTTTTTTAATTAACAAAAGTTGGCTTTAACTGTGTTTTTTTAATGTCTAATTCAATTAAAAATACGTTTTCCACCTCTTTCTTTATTATTTTTTTTTTCATAATTCAAAAATCTCTAACCCTATCATGGGAGGCAACTTAAAGTTGGTTGTTAGATACAACATTAATGTTGTACAATAGTAATTAAAAATGAATGAAAATAATAACTCAAATTTAAAATGAATGAAAATGATATTTTACTTATATGTAAGAAAAAGTACCTACCTAGATAACATACATTTATAACTCAAATTTTAAATGAATGAAAAATGATATTTCACAACAACAATAAAATAATAGTAAACAAAAATACTTAATTTAATTCAAACATAGCATATATAATACAGAGATGATAAAATTAATTAAGATAAGTATGAGTTATTATATTATATGTAAATATTAAATAATATAGTACAGTGTGATCCTCATCATAAATGTTTTAGTACATACTTGTATCAAAACCTGGACCATGTAGGGTATCTTCATGAATATGTATTTTTATTATTATTATTATTATAATAATAATAATAATAATAATAATAACATTTTTTTCTTTTATAATTACAAATGATTGCAAATTAACATCAAATAAATATCACATCACTTTTTTCATGTCTTTTTAGATTGATTTGGTTATTTTGTGCTTTGATTTTTTTTCATGTTTATACTTTTTTTATAAGAAGAATAATACAATTAAATATATGTTTATATGTTAAAATTAATTTATGCATAAAATATATGTAATTTTTTATAAATTAAATTATATAAACTAATTTAATTTTTATATAAAAAAAAACTAATTTTTTTTCTTCTGAGTATTCATAAAAAAAGTTACTCACTATTTTAAACTTTCAATTTGTTTTAGTTTTTTTAATCAAATATTTATTTTCTTAAGAGAAGCAATTTTTTTTTGGTTTGTTAAACATTTGAAAACAACTGAGGTTCAAAATAAATAAATAAAAATATAGTTATACCATAAACTATTTATTAATGCTTATAGAAATACTAATTAGTTATTTTAAGAAATAAAAAAAATTTAAACATAAATTCTATTTTGTAAATGTAAAAATAATTAATAAACTATTTTTATGCAGATTGTTTTTTAACCTTAGACAATCTGAATCACAGTATGCCAAAGTTAAGCTCTCCAGTTTTTCTTACTCACATCATATACTCTTAAATTTTCGATTCCTTTTTATTTTATTTACTTTCATTCAATGAACATAAAATTACCAAAATTGAATATTATATAAATATGTCATATTATAATATATATATATATATATATATATATATAATATTATAATTCATAAAATTGACTATATGTTAACATTAATTGTTTATTTCATAAAAATCAGTACAAGATAATTTGTTTTTATTTATTCCATAATTCAAATAAAAGAATAAAAACCCATTGAATGAAAAATTTGAAGTTACTAAATTTAAGAAAATTTGGTGATACTCTCTATTTCTGAATAATTGTTTTTTTTTTAAATTGTTTTATTATTTATAAAATTTAAGATCGTATTAATATTTTTTAATTATATTTATTGTAAAGAGAATGTAACAATTTATTAGTAGTGAATTTAGATGAAAAAAAATTAAATAAAAAGACATTGGTAAAATATTATTAAAAAATAATGTTTATTTATGAAATATATGATATTTTAAGTGGTATTTTGCATGTGAAGATGATCTTGAAAAAAGCAACACGATGGATTGGGTGGTCTGGAAATTGGATATGCTTTGAGAGGCCGTTTGCATTCATTGCAGGCAGCAGGAGGTAGTCGGTGCTTTTAAATTCTCAAGCATCACTCATAAATATTTTTTTATATGCTTTTATTTTTCCTTCACTTATCAGCAAAAAATTAATCATAAGTGTATATAGAATGCAAATCAATATAATTATTTCAATGTTTAGATTTCACTCATTAAATATTTGTTAAACTTAAAGAAATTAATAAAAAAAGTCCCCTGTGGGTCCTGAAAATTTGTTAGTTCATTAATTAATATGTAATCATTTCTCATAATTTAAAAGGTAGAAAAAAATAATTTCTCACACTTCAATGCGAATCATTGATTTTTTTTTTCAAATTAACTATTCTTTCTTTCACAATAAAAGTAATGTATTTTTAAAAAGAGAATTGTTTTAGTAAAATAGTTTAATTTTTTTTATTACTCTTAATCTGTGGAAAAAAAAAGAAAAAAAACTTTAACAGTACAAACTCAACGCAAGATACTTCAGATGGTTGTTAACATTCTTGGAAATATATATGTGCTCTATTTCCCTCTTCTTTTTTTCTAATTAAAACATTAAGACTTTAAGAATATTGCTAGGATTTTATATCATCACGTTCCAACAGACAAAAAAATACTAGGTAATTATAAATATCGTGCATAAAGTGGAACTTCATAAAATATGAGGAGGCCATTGTCGTACAGTGAAGCAAACACAAGTCGACCACACTGCACATGAGATATTTGTAAGAAGTCTCCATCAGAGTAATATTTGGAGTTAAGGAAGTGCAGTTCATTGCTGTGATCTTCTTTTTCCACTTGAAGTGGAGGCCAGGAGAGGGAGTAGTAGTTTCAAGCCTTAAATGCTGTAATTAATTTAGGGAACCGCTTTTCTTAAATGCTCCAGCAACCACTCACCACATGGTATTCTTACGTGGTGTATTTAAAGAATGATGCATGGAATTGTTGAATGCACATGGTTAAGTTCTCACTTGGGAAAAAGGGACCCCAGTTCTGAACTTCCAGCAGTTTCAATTGCAAGGCCTTGGTGAGGCAATGGAGTACTTAATGGTGAAAATCATGATACTGGCCACAATGCCATTGTTTTCACTTGCTGTGGACATTCCTGTAGTGAGGCAAGTGGCTTCAAAGTACAATGTGTCTTGCATACTAGTTTTTGGAGATTCAAGTGTTGATTCTGGCAACAACAATGCCCTTCACACCACAATGAAAAGCAACTTTCCTCCCTATGGGAAAGACTTCTTTGACAGCCGCCCAACTGGAAGGTTTAGCAATGGCAGACTTGCCACAGACTTCGTTGGTAAAACTATTCAACCCCCTCTTTTCATGTATTTATTTTACTGAAAGATTAGTTATTAGGCAAGCATACTGCATTGAGTTACTTGAAAAACTTATTATTGGCCCAACATAATTTATATATTATGTCAATATGTGAAATTTTCCGGTCCCATATTCTTGGATCAGGCTTTTAATCGATGATATGAAACATTTTGGGGGTGTGGACACAAATAAACATGCCTCACAAACACTAAGGATTCTTCAAAAGTTAAGATTGTCTTTTACTTGTATTAATTTCTTTCACTTTTTTGTGAATGTGTTCATAAATAACTGATGGCTATATTGCCATAACTTGAAATTCAACCTTTATTTAAAATAAGTGGATAAAGTTTTAGATAACTTGTCACATAAAGGCTTTCCAAACCATGTAAAAGAAAAGCCTATTAATTAGTTGAACACGTATATAATGTGTTATTAATCCGCTGTGGCTGATGAATAAAATCATAAAAGCAAAACATTTATGTTTTGGTTAATGATTCGTGAATACTTTTTTATTATACTTTTCCCTTTTCAATTTTTCTTTCCGTCTCAAAAATGTCAAAAAAATAGATAACAATGTCCACTCATCGTTATCCTTTAATATTAAAACATAAAAAACCATCCAATAGCTAGACCGAACCCTGTTCTGGTAAACGGAACTTAGACTGGTACAATTAAAAGGCGTAAGCGCGATCTTTTTTTGACGAGACTGAGTTTCTACGTGATTTTTCTTCTCATGTTAGAAGAAGCCTATTCTATTGCATATAAACTGAGTAGTGTTTCCAATAAAACACATGTGCAGCTGAAGCAGTTGGGTATAGAAAGGTGATTCCACCGTTTCTCGACCCAAATTTGAAGCCAGAAGATCTTCAGTATGGCGTTAGTTTTGCATCAGCAGCCGCAGGCTTTGATGATTATACAGCTGAAGTTTCGGTACATAATTCGATGAACTTTGGATTTACAACATAAAGAGTTTTTGAATGTTTTCTTTCGTGAGTAGGTAGCTAATTGTGGTGCATTAACTAACTTAACGTGCAGAATGTTTTGCCTGTTTCGAAACAACTGGAGTATTTTGCGCATTATAAGATCCATTTGAGAAGACAGGTGGGTGAAGAAAGGGCGGAATTTATTACAAGAAATGCCTTGTATATTATCAGTATGGGTACAAATGACTTCCTGCAGAATTATTTCTTGGAACCTACTCGCCCTAAGCAATTCAGCTTGGAAGAATTTGAGAATTTCTTGCTCTCTCGCTTCTCTAAGGACGTTGAGGTTCCCTCTTTCTCCATCTTTACTCAATTCTTACATTTTATCTACGATCAAATTAGTTGAAAAAGTTACTTCAAAGTTGGAAAACTAGTCCAGAACTTAATGGATGTGAAAACAATTCACTGATTGTGTGTTAGTATTATCATTGTCAATTATCAATAGTGTTTGTTAAAATGATAATAGTTAAAACATACTAATGTAATATGGAAAAAAAAAACATTTGAAAAATAATAATATATATCAGGAAATAACAAAACCATTCCATATTTCAAAAGGATAAAATAAAATCCAAAAGCTAAAGAAAATATAAACTAAAACACTATTTGAATTAATGTTTTAAAAATCACAGAGTATTTGATTTCATTGACTTTAATACTCTCTCCTACTTTACTGCTTTGCATTTAATTTTGTTGGTGGACAGATTATATTTTCTTGCATTGGATGGACTTGTATGGCCCCACTGAAAATATAATCAACAACAAAGTCTTATCAATCACAGGAGATTGATTTGTGGCTCATCATTGTGTGGTTTGCAATTTCAGATATTTATGATCAACAGAAATATATATATATATATATATATATATATATATATATATATATATATATATATATATTTAGTTCAACGGAGTTACCTAACTAATTGTGCAGTATTAGGAATTAGAAGAACACAATAACAGCATTATACTATATTTTATGTAGGGGCTTTTATTGGTTAAGCATTACTTGTTGAAATATCCCTGTCTCAAATATCAAACTATGTCCTTTTCGCTAGGTTTTATGTTCTAAGAACTGTCCCATTCAATCTTTCATCTTCTCTTTTGAAAGATGGAGTAACCGGATATCCAAAACTATTCAATCAAAGTCTCTCCATTTTTTTAATTTATTTAAAGTTTAAGATAATATATTTACAGTGAGAGTTTTTATAATTCGTTAAATTTTTAAAACATCATTGAAAAACAGTTTGAAATGGAACATATGAAGTATGAGTGAATGTTTGGTGGTTACAGGAAATGCATAGACTTGGTGCCAGGAGGTTGATAGTTGTAGGAGTCCTCCCTCTGGGATGCATTCCACTTATCAAGACAATTAGAGGTGCGGAAGGCTGTGATAAAAGTTTAAACGGCGTAGCTGATGCATTTAATGCAAAATTACTACACCAATTAAACTTCTTGAAGACAAAACTGGGTTTAAGGACTGCTTTGGTTGATGTTTATGGAATGATCCAACGTGCAGTCACGAATCCTAAACAATATGGTTAGTATTCGACTTAATTACCATGTTTATGTCACTGTTGAATTTACTTTTATGACAAGTTATTTTAATTGGTCCTTCACATTGTTCTATAGTAGTTGTTTGCGAAGTTCACTGCTCAACACAATGCTTCTGATTTTTAACCAAACCATGACCTCTAAAATAATCCTTTTTTTTTTGGTTCAACTTAAACACAAACATGCCCAAGTTGTTGTTTTTTTTCATGTACTTACCTCATGTAATTGGTTGATGGCAGGATTCATCGAAGGTTCAAAAGGATGTGTTGGGACAGGGACAGTAGAATATGCAGATTCATGCAAAGGGGTGAATAGTTGTTCAGATCCAGACAAATATGTATTCTGGGATGCTGTTCATCCAACACAGAAGATGTACAAGATAATAGCTGATGAGGCCATTGCAGCTTTTCTTAATAATTTCTTTTGACAGTGCAACCAATTAATTAATATTCAAATCTATATCTGACGCCTCTATATCAATTTCTCTTTGTATCAACTTGGAAAAAGACACCAGTAGTTTCAAATTAACTGTTGGTTTTGAAAATGCAGGCTGTGTAATGTAATTTATTTACAATTAAATTTTAAAAGAAATATTTATTATTTGATAAGATATTAAATATGTCTAAGTAAGGGTAAGATATTTTCGTTTTAGAACATTAAATACAGCCATAATAATTCTGGTTATTAATATTAACTTTTGGAAATATCACTATAACTCTTAAATTACAAGTCAGATTGATACCTTCTGAAGCATTATTCTTTATGTAACATAGATAAGAATATTGTTTAGGCTAGGTCTAAGGTCCTCATTCTTGGTTGTTGTTGGCTTTCGTGATAACAATGAAAGTAATGCGAGTTACGAGCTTCAGCATGGGAAAGTCTTATTCCGATGCCTACTTCTTGAAGTGCAGTTTAGCCTGACATAACGTTGGAAAGTTCAACTAATTTGGGTTGAAATTTTGAAGGTCCTTCTTGAGTTTTGTTTCATTGTGTTTGGAAAATACTTTCATTAGCAATATCGTGAAAATCAAGATACGTACTGGTTTTTCTATGGGGAAAGTAAGTAGGTCAAGAATTGCCAAAAAGAAAACTTTATTACTTGGTAATGCTTATCTTCTTGTCTGTGCCGCTGAATCTGAAATAACACGGTTTTAACACTTCCTACACCTTAGCCTCATGTGGTTAGTCCTTTTTGTGTTTGGTGGTTTAATGGTCTGACTTATGTCACCAAATTAAGAAAAATCTAGGTCATTGTTGGTGTAATAGTGATGAATTCTAACTCTCAAACCATGCAATGAGTTTGTGTTCTTATGTACCACGCTTGATGTTTTGTTTAAAAGGAGGTGAGTCTAGAGAATTCATCAGGTTTGAACGAAAGATCATTTAACACCATGAATCACACACTTTTGCACAAATAGTGATAGTGTTTTAGCAAATATATAGTTGAGAATCAAGATGAATTAAGTGAAGGTTACATTTATATTTGAACCAAGGTTCAAATCTTCCTTTTAATTATAGTCGTTCTTAAAGTATGATAATTATGAGCTGTAGAACATATAAAAATACTAAAATTACAAAATATAATAAAATCGTAGAGTAATTTTTTATATATATTGAGGAAAAAAAATTAAGTGTGAAAACTCTTTCCAACTTTTTAAATGGTCTACCACTAAAATAATATATAGTCAAGTAATTTCAGCAAATATTATTAATATGGAGACTAATTTAAATAAATTATCATATTTTTGCTAAATTTTAATTGACGATATTATCAATTAAAATAATAAATTAAAAAATAATAATAATAAATATTCTTTTAAAATTATTTTATAAAGGGAGGAGGAATGAAGTACTTCTCATTTCCTTTAAATTTTTTTAATTAAATTTAATATGGTTCCAAGAAATAAAAGGATGAAGTTTTTTAAAGTTATTATGAAATAACTCCTATTATATAAAATGTTTATTTATTAAATAAGCCTCATGTATTTAATCTTTATCAAATGGAGAAAAAAATTTAACAACCTGTCATCTTTGAAATCAAATATGGAAGAAAACATTTCCATCAAATATTAATTTTAGATAGTCCCCTTGTTGAGTGTTATATAACTTTGTGAAAAGCTTTTAAAAAGTCAAATGATGAGATGACTCTACATTACTGTTATAAAAATATTTTTGATGAATTTCTGATTTATATAACATAACATAAATAATAATAAAATATTTTTATCGTACATCCAGATAAATCTAGTTGAAATACACAACATAAATATATTTTTATTATTTAATTAGGGAATGTAGCTTTGTGATATATAATAAAAAAAAATTGTTGAACGTGCTTAACAAAAAGTTATATGAGAATAACAAATTTCCTCCCGTGGACTGTCCAAGTAAATGTCCCCATACACAATTCAAACCCAAACCATTTATAGTAAATTATAAGGTATAATTAGTAATTTTTATAATTAATATATGCAATTATATATTCTCAATTTTATAGTAATAATATATGAAAATATATTCTCATTTTTATTAATTTTTATAATTTACATGGTGAAAATATATATTCTCATTTTTATATTAATAATATACGAAAATAAAAGTCTAAATACATTTTGCAATACATTACTAAAATGATATAAAAATTATAAAACTAACAAAAAATGAATTATAAAATCCTACAATATTTAGATGGGATAAAAAGTAATTTTAATAAATATATTCAAATAAATAAAGAACAAAAAATATATTAAAAAAAACTAAAACACTATTTCAATTACTAGTATTTCAAAAAAAATATTACTAATGTTGTCCAACCAGTAAAAAAAAAAAAAAAATCGTTTACCAAACAAAGCCTTAATATTTATAGCTTTCTGGTATTCTTTTGCTTTGATTCCCTTGACTTGATTGAATACTCTAGTCTACTTTACAGCTTTTTTTGCATTTAATTTTGTTGGCACATACATGGGTTATATTTTCCTGCATTGAAATGGGCCTATTTGTCGGTAAGCCCAGGCCCCGGGATGATAGGTCCCTACCAAAAACAACACCAACAATAAAGTGTCATTAATCACACACCACATTAATATTGTATCATTTTTAGATACTAATGGTGACCATAACCATATAACTTTAATGGATTATTGTGCACTGTTCACCAACAACAAAAAATGCAGTTTTATATATTGAAATGTGAATGAAATAATACCATCATACTATATTTTCTTTGTTGAAACATTTATCCTTAAATTTTGACTAATTAGTTCATTGTAAGAATAAATTGGACAGTATGACACAATCCATCTGTGTTCGAAAATCTGTCGGTAATAACTAATTAATTTATTTAAAGTTTATGATAAAATTATATGGAGAGAGCCTGTGGAATCAAACTCTTCTCATTATTTTAATGTTTTCACTAAGTTTATGATACCAAGTTTACTTTCTAAGTTGATTATAGAGAAATGTTTTTTAATGATTTATTTGGTTAAAAAATTGGAAATTGGGAAGTTAGAAATGAAAAAAAAAGAGAGAAAGGAATAAAAAAAGTGACAGAATAGAAATGAAAAGATATTTTATTTTTATTAATAATTTTTTAGTATCGATATTATGGTTTTAATAATTTATTATCATTATTGTTATATATAAAAATATTAATATCAGAATCTACTACATTATTGAAATGTTTAAATTTATTATACCAAACTTGTGTGAACAGTAAATTTACTCCGCTCTCCATTTCCAACCGCAATAAATGTGTCGTATCAAACAAAAACTGAATGAATCTAACTCTTGCATCTTCAGATCAAATTATCATTAACTCTTGCGCTAGAAGATTAGAAAATATCTTTTACTATTATGATGCACTTGCTTTATAAATCTGTGTGATTTGTAATAATAATAAAAAATAATTGTATTGAAATATAATTTTAATACAAATCGATCAAATATATTTTGAATTAATCTATGAATTATTAACAGAGACCGAGTTGAATAAAAATGTTAACCTTCACGACCCGTGATAGTTCCTAGCCGCAAACAAAAAATATTGAAGAATGTTAATTGTCATCTTATAAATAAAGTTTGCGCGACCATGTAACACTCACTAAAATTATTTTGAATTCAGAAACCTTGTCATATTCTCATTTTTTTTTTTTATGATCTCAGTATCTCTTGGTTGAGAAATAAAAATGAATCCTCAAAATACTAAAAAATTTATTTAAATATTAACTTCTTTCAATAATTTTCTTGGCTATGCATATACACACTCGACCTTAGTATAAAATGTTTGATGAGATATTTAAGGATATTATTTGGCCTGGTTCCGTAGTGGTCCTCAATTTTAGTTGTTGTTGTCTTACGTGATAACATAAAATTAATGCGAGTTCTCCTTTTCAGAGTTGAAAATACCTACATTGTGTACTGGTTCAGTTATTAAAGTGGTAGCTGTTTATATTAACTTTCACCAAATAATGACAACTCATTTCAAGATAAAATCTATCCAGCGTGTCGTTTCCACCTATAACTCATCAATTTATGTTTCTGTACTTTCTTTTGTGTGGCCATAGGAAATGTTTAGAACCCCTTTTATTGGTGCTACTACATTCCACTAACAATTTCCATAACAAGTAAAAAATGAAACTTGGAACCCATAAGCTATGAGAAGAAAAGTGTCTATTTGAACTTAACCTAGTTATTGAGGATGAAATCAATGGTAGAGATGCTGGCCAAGAAGATGTTGTGGTATGCCTTCTCAGTTGGGTGAATGGAATCCCAGAATACATACTTGGATGGATCAAGGCACACATTTGAAATCTTATTACACAATATTGATGCTTCAATGAACCCACTTCCACAGCACCCACTATCAACCTCATCAAATCCTGGCAAAATGCAAACAAAGCAAATTTGTTACGAAATCAACGATTTTGTAATATTTTATCGGAAAGTAATAAATATTTTGACTAACCAAATCTTTTACGGGATTGAATCATATCGGCAATGGGTTTATATATGTCAACGTAATAGATCTTAGCATCTGAAGTAGAGAAATTGAGATGCAATTGCATTGCGTGCAGTTCATGTTGAAGGAGTAGATTGTAATCTCTTGCAATGGAGGAGTATTTGTCGATGCAATCACGTTGGAATAAGGCATTTGGGGAATTCATGGTGATCATGAGCGGTAGGCATCCCATTGGAGGTATTCCAGTAATTGCAATTTTTCGAGCACCTTCTGCCAACAAATTCTGAACAACTTTTTACCAGTTAAACACACCGTGTACTTCATAGTATGCAAATTCATTGAAACCATCTCATGCAACAAGAACAAGAGTATTAACAATTTATTGTTGCTTTCTCTTCTAATTTGTTTCTGCCTTCCAGAATAGGTTCTTATTATACTGAAAATTAATATTTGGTGAGACTTCAATTTTGTTAAATATCAGGAAGGAGGTAAGTGAGTGGTATGGTTCACGTAATAAAACAAGACCTTAACTCTATCCATGTTTAAATCTATTACGAGAATATCAATTTTTGAGTTGATAAAACATAAGTTTAGTGGTGATACCTGTTAAAACGAAAAATATTTAAGATAGTCAACATCTTATATTCAAGACCACGAACACGAAGGAAAATGTTTTAAGTCCATGATAAAAATAAAGTCATTGTCATAGATTTATCAATGTCAAAATCTTAAAAACAGTGGTTAACCTTGACGAAACACTCATTAATATTCAGAATTTAATATCCAGAGAAACTTATCTTTATCAATTATCCTTACGATAATCCTTACGTATTTTGTGATTTTTTACTATTTGGATTTCTATCCACGAAGACACCTTCAATGATGTTAATGAAAAGATTATCCTCCATGGTGGGAGGTGCATTCACAATGATCATTACGAATAGAGTCATTAAGACTCTTTATTGACAAATTCTTCTTTTGAAGGATGAAACCTCCTTGTGAAGGAAGAAGTTATAGTGACTTGGATTATCGTGGAGGCAAAGAAAGACATTGTAACGAAAGAAAACAATAACAAAGGGAGAAGATAAGTTAATAAGCATCCATAAAAAATAGAGGGAAGATGCTATGAATATATTGGAAAACTCTCAAAACAGAAAGAAGAAAAATGTGGATTTGATGGAAGAAATGGTCAAGTGTGACATGCCTCATTTCACTAGTTTTGGGAGGCGTAACATTGACTACCCATAAGACACCTCATTTCGATATTTCCAAAGAACTCCTCATTCAGAACATTAAATTTGGTCTGACAAATAATTACTTATAAATGAGAGTTAATCAAATCATTATTATGAGTTGGGCTAAAAATTACCATAAGTCCTTGAAAGCTTAATTTTATCATACATTAGAATATACAAACCATGACCTTGTTTATGATAAGTTTAAACACATCTTGTTGAACAAATGACAACTCTTTTCAAAACTTGAGCTATTATTAAAATACATTCATCTTATATAGATAATAATTTAATTTAAATAAATCATTCACATCCTTAATGTGTACGTAGACAAAAGTAATAAGCAGGTATTATTTTATACTTATAATATAAATTCAGAATCTTTTACTTGTATGCAAGTTATATGTTGTTGAAAAAAGGAAAAACAAATACATTCATTGTTTCTTTTTCTCTTAATTAGTTTATCTAGCAGACATTTTTTAATATTAAAAATGCCATATAATTGGCAGTTGGCACAGCAAGTGTTTTTGTTTGTTATTGTTATTGAGGTGTTTTAGGGTTTGTGGGGTTCAGTCTTTATTAGTTTTCACATCTAGCTAGCCTCAACCACACTACCCGTTCATATTGTCCCCCTCTTCATTACCATTCAATTCTCTGACTCCTCCTCCTCCTCCTCCTCCTCTTCTTCTTCTTCTTCTTCTTTTATTCCTCTCTTTCCACATCGATCTTCCACTCTACTTTTACTTAATACTATTACTTCTTTCATTCATAAAAGTAGCTTCTTCAGTATCCCTTTTTGTTCCTCATTTAAAATGTCCAAATCCCAGTTCAATTGCCCTAAATAAACTCTGAAAAATGTTTATTTCACGGGTACCGCCGAAGAATGTTTTAAGAATACTGGTTAAAGAATTTTAAATAAAAATATTCGAATTACGTTAGAAATGCTTTTGAAATTATCGTACACGCGCATTCGTAACACTTTTTAATGGTATCTTTTTAAAGTGACTGAATTTCTTAATCAGTATCTTAAAGCCCTGTTAGCTCAAGGTTGTTGCTTTCCACGTACCATGATTCAAAAAAATGATGTTATATTTTCTATTGTATAAGTTGCTTGATTAAGTAGATAGGAAACGAAAGTTAATTAAAAAATAAGTTTCATCTTTAATATTTATATTCAAATTTACATTATACCATTTCCATGCAGCAAAAATTACGAGTGAGTAGGGTTTTCCCGTAAATTCATTTTGATGTTTCTTTTTACATCTACTCATTCCCCTCGTCTCTTTTCTCTCTTTAAATTTTTATCAGTACAATGGAGGAGGTGTAAGACATTTGATGCCAACCAAACATTTCCAGAAAAAGAAAAATAACGAGTAATTCATGGAGAGCAATTCAATTTGACTCCACCTCGCATTAATCAAATGTCTTTCTTCATATATCCCATCTTTTTTTCATGTTGAATATTTTGTACGAGTTTTTTTCGTTAATAAAAATAGTCTAATTTTGATACATTGTCACTGTATTTTTCTTATATCGTCAGTCAATTAAAAATTAATTTTATAGATACACCTTTTAAAACAAGTATTACAACAAAAAAAGATAAAAAAAAGAGAGAGTCAGTAATTTAATATAAAAACTTTACACTCTCAATATGTATATTCTAATTAAACTCGGATCGAAAAAACAATATCTTCAAAACTGGTTTTATGAAACTTCTTCCTCTGGTGTTCTTTAAAAAAATAAGTTCGTGTAACCATAAAGATGGAACTTAATGGTGGAGACTCGAACATAAATATTTGCCTACCGTGGAAGCTAAACCCTAAACCCTAGTATAGAAGCTAAATTTTTAGATAAGAAGAATGATATATATATATATATATATATATATATATATATATATATATATATATAGCATGGGAGTAATTGATCCAAACCTGTATAAAATCTTTGACTTGTTGGATTAAGAAGCGTTGATACGCTTGGAGAGTGTAACTCTTTCTTCGTACTGGTAGAGCAAAATAATTAAGAACAAAGTCATTTGTTCCAGCACTGATGAAATACGCAGCCTTTTTCACATGATCTTCAATTCTTTGCTTACCCACATCATCCTCTATCCTCTTTTTGCATTCTCTGAAATATTCTAACTGCTTTCTTATTGGAATAACATTCTGAAATTAATGCAGAATTTCACCTTTTGAGTTTGATTTCTGCTTTGGTTAGTCATACTAAATACAGATAGATGCATAAACATGGCAAAAAAAATCTCTATGAAATTACACATATATAGATTAACATGAAGTTTCTCATCACAGATTATTCAATCATCAGGTATCTAAATTAATAGGAATAATGATATATACACATTCCAGTATATCCAACACCTGGTTAACTCTTGTAATTTTTGTTCTGTTCTTTTCCTTTTACCATATCTTATCTCTAGCATTGGTTATGGGGGTGTATATTTATGATTTTCCTAATCAGAGTGAGACAGTGGTAGAGAATATAGACTATATTTGGGCCAACAATGTAACTCATAAAAAGAAAGAAAGGGAGAGAAATACAGTGATGGTTGGTGTAAGTGGGTCAAAGCCAGAACCAGCAGAGGCAAAACTAACTCCTGTCATTAGCTCTTCTACATTGGTGAGGCTTGGATCCAAATAAGGTGGAAGAAGCTCTTTCTTGAGGCCTACGTATGAAACTGCAGTGTATTTCACAATGCTAGTTATACAATGTAAGTTATCAGTTGATTCTTACTGTTATTATGCACGTGTGTGTATATGAATATGAAAATATGATAATTAAGTACCAATGTAATCAGTGGCAAGCTTCCCATTGGTAAATCTTCCTGTAGGAACTTGATTGGAAAAATCCAATCCATAAGGTGGAAAGTTGCTTCTGAAAGGTGTCTTGATGTAGTTATTGTTTCCAGGGTCGACGGTGGAGTCTCCAAACACATAAAAGCCTGAGACTGTCATGTTTAAAGCTTCAATTTTGGCCATGATACATAGCCAACATAGAATGAAAATCTGCATCAAAGAAAGAAACAAGTTTGTGTCACAAGTCCCCATGCCAACAAATGAGAATCAACTTGGGAGAAGATGTGTTAGAACTTTTGAAGCATTAGACTTGGAAGTTGGAAGAGTAATATGAACGGCTCTCAATATATAGATTTATAGGTGAGGCACAACTATAGAAATGTTCATGACCAAAATGACCCTGCAAAACATAATGTTTTTTATCTGTAACTTTTTATCATATGAATTTATTGTGTGCTTTAGTTGGGAAATTAAATCAAACATTTCCTTCTACTGATGCCACAACCTCTTAACTACCGATGGTATTTTAATCAATCGTGTCAAATGGACAACAAGGTGGAGACAGATCACACAGCCTATATAGTCTGGTAAAAGGACGAATTTTGAATGATAGTTAGATAGGATTCTTCATTTTCTTGAGTGAAAAGAAATGATTCAACTAACACTAGTATTTGACAATATCCATTATATGTCCCTTCTAGTTTAACTATTCATTTCAATAAATTACATCCAGAAACAGCAAAAGATAATTCAAATAAAGCATAGCTAATGCAATGTATTTATCCATGCGCCCACTATATATAACGTGATTATAGTGCATTTTCTTTCACAGATAAAAAAGGTCAGACTCAGCTTTCCCTTTTTACATTATATTTTTAGCAATATTGCACTGCACCTATTTTAAATAAATAATAAATCACTACACTGACTGCTGTCAAATGTGGGGCCTCACTAACAGGTTGTACTGTTTCATATTAATTATATGTATGTATGTATGTATCTTTTGTTCCAATTTTATGTTAAAAGACTTTTTCCCATTTCACCAATCAGTATTATTTTTAGACATTCAAATAGTATATTAACAAACTTTCATTTATTTAAATAATTTCCTGTTGATCATATCATATCAGTTATATATATATTATCGCTTCTTTTTTTTTCGTTACCATTCCTTTATCTCTTGACACGGACTAACATTAGATATCTATACAAATTTTGCAAAAAAAAAATTAATAAATCTCAATCAGAGGCAAAGAGAGAGGTCCAAGAAAAAATTAGGTTTGTTAGGTTGTTTTCTTATGTACTTAATACTTATAAACTGAATAGAGATATATTCCTGTAATGCTTACAAGAAAGAAAAAAAAAGTTGAACTAATCTTTTAACATTCATGAGCCGTAAAAATTTGTTTATACAACGTTGACACTTGAAAGAGACGTCGATGTTTAAAATGAGAAATGAGATATAAACGTTTTTTTATAATATGTTTGGTTCAATATGTTTTCTTATATTATTATCTAAGGATATGTTTAGATTAAATTGTCTGTAAGAGTTTCTTTTTAAAATAAATAATTTTTTTCATAATAAAATTACAATTAGTTTAGGAACAAACTAATTTTAAAAACTTTCTTATATTACTTCTCTTAAAAAGATTTGATTGTCGTCATAGAAGAATAAGAAAAGTTGTAAAAACAATGAAGGAGAAAATAATTCTATTGATGTTTTTATTCCTTTGAGTTTGACACTGATGTTTTTAGGGTTTTGTTTTCAAATGGGCCGACAGAAAACAAGCCCAGCCCAAGTCCATTAGAAGTTGAGATGGCATTATGATGTGAAACGACGCAATCTGGAAATTGCTGAACCCATTTGAAAGAAGAGCGTAGCGCCGCATTTGCATTCACCAACAATTTGCTTTAGTGCGAAGGAGCCTCCGTTTGTGGCGTTGTAGATATCAATTTTTAAGGCGCAACCGTGTGCATGGTTTCTTGTTATTTATTTTAATCACCCGTTAATCCATCACTTTCCTTTGTTTTCTTTCGCCCCAAGAAATTCTCGCTGTGGATTCCTTCACGCCACCTTCTTTTTCATTTCGAATGTCTTCACGGTAGTCTTCTATATCCCCTTTGTTTTCAACCTCCAATATATTATTCTTAGACTCAAATACTTCTACCATTACCAATTAACAAAAAGAGATGGAGTGTTTCTCTGTTCCAGATTTGACTAATTCGAATGAAAAGAGTAATTCGAGTTGATTATAGTTTAAATAAAGACATATGGGTAGCTTAGTTATCTTTCCATTACTTTTTCCCTGATCTGAAGCAATTTTCGGGAAATGATATCGTGATTTGGCACATTGAGCCTGGTAATAATCTTTGTTTAACTTGCATTCCCTGTAAATTAGATTAGAGCAACCGGTATTGGTTTGACTTAGAAAACATTAAATTAGTTCCACCAAACTTACAATGCTTCCAACTTCAACAAAAGGCAACAAAGTCCACCCTTGCCAGCTTTCAAAATGCTTATGCCTCTCTGTTTCGTAATGTTTTATCCATGAAATTAAGGAACGTATTCCAATACAACGAACAAAGTATACAAAATCAGCATGGGATGAAGTCCCAAATGATTGAACAAGTACACAAGTCAATAAGAAAGCAATAAACTAATGTTTTAAATTTTATTAAACGTGTCACGGTGTTGAAACTCATCAAATCCTCCTTAAAAATAGCTGGTAAATGCATTGATGCACAAGTTTTCCAATTGGGTTTCCATTCATTCATCACATCAAAGCAATGAAGCAAATCAGATGAGCTGTCAAACAGGCTTTTCACATTGCATGTTTTGCTTTATATATCTTCACTCATTATACCACATATTCCCCCTTCATTGCCAACATGGATATTCATAGTAATCATGGTGCAACTTCTGAAGGGATTCTTGAGAATGTATGGGCCAAAATTATGAGCAGTGATAGAGCAGATGGAAGAAAAGGTGATGCAGCAGAATCTTCTAACTCTTGGGAAGAACTTCCTAACCTTGATGGAAGAGAAGGGTCCATGGAAATTCTACAAAGACTTCCAAGTTTAGGGAGGTGGATATCAATGGGAGCTGATTTCTGGGAAGAAGTTTTAGATGGTATTGTTCTACCAAACACAACCAATACAGAAGATTCTAGCAACAACAATTTGGAAATTGGAGGTGCTGATGAACGTACTAACAGGATGGAAGATGCTGTGAGAACAGAGAAGGCAGTTACAAAACACTACAGAGGAGTAAGGAGAAGGCCTTGGGGTAAATATGCTGCAGAGATTAGAGACTCATCCAAGAAAGGTGCAAGAGTTTGGCTTGGAACATTTGACACGGCTGAAGAAGCTGCTTTGGCTTATGACAAGGCTGCTTTGAAGATTAGGGGTCCAAAGGCATACCTTAACTTCCCACTTGAGAGGGTTACAAAGGCTTTAGGATGTAACAACAAAGGAACTCATCTTACTTGCACGTGCATAGGTAACAAAGAAAATTTGATCAACTCCAGGAAGAGAGAATCAAGGGAAAGGGAAGTGTTTGATGATGATACGATGAATGAACAACCTGCAAGAAAAAAGCTGGAATGCATGGTAGAAAATGAACTAGGTGTTTTTGTATTTCAGGACCTGGGAACTGATTACTTGGACAGTTTGCTGTCTTCTTTTTGACAGAATACTCACCATTAATTCCAGTAGTTAATTAGTCTTTGGTCACCATATTCGTAATCGAAATATTTTAGCCATTTGTCACATATTTTGCATATTTTTTGCTGGATTTGTCATCAAACTGAAAAACTAATGGTTTGGAACAAACTATTAAAATGATCTTGATTGAAGTGGACTCAGATTTTCAAGTTATGTTTATTTACTGACTAGCTCAAAACTATGTTCTAAATTGTTCTCAATTATTCTTACACACTAGCATGGTTGCATTCGAGTACAATAATAATATCGAACTAAATTATTGTTATTGAGATACGAGATATATTTTTGAGATATTAGATGCATTTTGATAAAATAAAAATAATGATTTTATAAGTTTCAATAAATTATCATTGCATAACATTTTATAAAAGATTTTGTATCTCCTTTATTTAAATTTAAGTAATTTTTTCCTCGTTGATTTAAACAACAAATAGTATTTGTAATTTTTTTTTTCAACACGTATCAAAACAGCTCGTAGAACACATCTTAGAACTCGATTCAATTCTAAAATTTAGCTAAGAACAAAAATAAAAAGTAAATAAAAAAAAATATATATATATATATATATATATATATATATATATATTATTTGAATGATATTTTTTTAAGCGAAAGATATTCATTCAGCTTAAATAAACGAAAAGGAAAATATAAAAATATTTTATAATAATTAATATATATATATATATATATATATTTTTAATCTTATATGATGAATTTTAACTATTATACAATATTCGTTTATGGGAAGTAAATAAATTACAATTTCCTTTTTTGAAATATTTTTTAATAAGTTGTACTATTAAAAAGTATTAGAAATTATTATCTCAAAATTGACTTTATATATAAATATAGGATTTTCTCGAGTGAAAATTATTAGAAAAATCATTACTTAGGTCTTTGAATTTTACTAACGTATATGTGATATATATATATATATATATCAATGAAGATACCTGATAAATGTTCAATTGTTTAAAAATAACTCAAATAATTTTATTATTTTGAGATATTTCTAAGAAAGGATAATATTTTAACAAGAAAGAGTGGTTTATTCATGGTAAAGGAAGGGAAAGAAAAATAAGACAAAAATGAATTGGAAACATTGATTTTTGATTTTAAAATGAAGGATCACCAAGTATGGCCCAGTTTTTCCTATCTTCTTCTCTATAATTCATTAATTTCTGGTTTGGTTGTAGGGGCTTTAATTCTGGATGAATCATCCTCTAAGTTGTGTTGTGAGAGTTGAGAATAATGTTACCATTTGGTTGAACAATTTGGGTAGTAACAATATTGTCAAAATGAGTGATGATTATTTTGGGGACCCTAAAAGTTGCTCCCACTTTTTTTCTCATCAATCTGTCCGCAGATGTTGCGACAGGTGTAGTTCATACCGTGTCAAGTATTGAAAATCCGTAGAAATCTCATACAAGTGCGTACTTTTTTACAAATAAAAAATAATAAAATGTGGGATGACTTTTTTTTATTTTAATAAATGTTATTTAATAATAAAAATTGTATCGTTACCAAGATTTTTTTTTTAAGTAATTATAGGATAAAAGATAAGTGTTTACAAATTAAGCATAATATATATCTTAAAAATTCGTTTTAAAATTAAAAAGTTATTTTATTAATTACTGAAATACACATTTTTACTTTTTTACAATAATGACTATATTTGACAAAGCTAATTGAAAAATTTATAGTTGAAAAGTCAAAGACATTTCTTAAATGTTTAAGATTTAGTAACGTTGGAATAACCCATAAATGTAATAATATATATATAATGTTGATAAAAATTACTGTAGACTATTTCAATTATATTTTTTTACTTTCAAAATTTATATATTTTTTTACATTGTATATTATGCTATTCATGTTATATTATATTTTAAAATGTCTCCAATCATTTAAAAATAAAGTGAAAACAATATAGTTAAGGAAATATCACATTTTTATTAACTTTTGTTACGTTGATTAATCTAATTATTTAAAATTTATATAATATATATAAAAAATATTATATATATAATATCAAAAAAATAAAAAAAATAATATAAATTTAACATAATGGTTAAATAAATAGAATAATATAAAAATATTAAAAAACTAATAATAAAATAAAATATATAATAACATAATATTATGTAAAAGATAAATTTAATAAAAAAAATTATGTTAAAACTAGAAGAAGATACAAAGTTATGTGTTAAAAATATGTTAGGTGAAATAGAATTAAAAAAAAAAACTACTTGCGAGTAGAATAAAAAAGTTTGTCTATCCAACGTTATGAAAAAAAATAAAAATAAATAAATAAATAAAACTAGAAGCCCAACTAAAATACATTCCAAACATAACCGATATCTCTATACTCAAATATATATTTCAAAGTATGAGAAGGTGAGATTTTATAAGATTATTTTGATAAAAAATAAATAAATTACAAAATAATTAATCAGAAATATATTTCTAGAATTCACATTCCAAAAAGACCTTATACACATTAAAAAAATACATTCCACGTTAGTTATTCAGAACTCGTATTTGAATTAAGTGTTCTCTAATGCATTTCCACACCATTCAATTCGAAAATACATCTTAGATTATTTGAAACTTATTTTCAGAGTGTTCCGTAAATATATTATAAATTGAGTATTATGAAAATGAATACTGAAATAGTGAATGTTAAAAGAATATAGATATAAGAGGAAAATGGGATTTATTTGAACTGTGGGAATGCAGGAAAGCATTATGGAGGTGCAGAAAGAATAAGGCACAAACAACAGTAATGCAGTTTCATTACAGCCTCCATTCTGGGCCGCGATATCCATAAAATGGGCCTTTTAGAAGCCATACAGAAAAGGAGCACTCCAATACAAGTATCTTCCTCATCATTTTCTCCTCACTTTTCCAATGACTTCAAACAATCCTAACCTAATTTTATATACAGGCTCAAGGAACCCCCCCCAACAAACACCAAAACAAGGAGCACTTTATTAACACTAAACCAAAACATATCCAACAAGGGGTAAAGAAAAAGAATCCACAACCATTTGAATTGAAACCATTAATGCACATGCTATCATATTCAATTAATTAATTCTTCTCGTCCTGTAACGACTGGCAGATACAAATAATTTATAATCATAATAATGAAACCAACCCATTCCAGAAAAAAACAAAAAACAAAAAACAAAAAAAAACAAACATTAAGTTTCTACATTTGTTTAACCCCTAACTCGTGCTACTAGTGCTTTCTGTCCGGGACCCGTTTACCTGAGTGGAATTATTGGTGGTGCAAGAACTCCCTGCACTAGAATCAGAAACAGCATCGTAATTATTATTATTGTTATTATTATTATGATGATGATTATTGAAAGATAACTCTGTGGCTGCAGCTACAATTTCGGCTGGGAAATTCAGCAAAGCCTTGGCGCCTCTCATCTTGAACGCGGCGCGGTCGTAAGCCATGGCGGCTTCTTCGGCGGTCTGGAATGTGCCGAGCCAAATTCTGGCTCCGTGGCGCGCGGAGTCTCGAATCTCAGCGGCGTATTTCCCCCAGGGTCGGCGGCGAACTCCTCTGTAGTGTTTTTTGGCGATGTTTCTGGTGGGGTCGAGGCCCAATTGGGGTTGGTGGAGCCTTGGGTGAGGGAGGAACGTGTTAGAGAGAGCATTGGCCTCGTTGAGCACTTGGTATATGACCATGTCCTGAGGGTCGTTCTCGTTGAAGGGTAACAACTCTGTTTGGGCTTGGGAAAACGAGACCCTGCTTTCTTCTTCGTAGTTTCTCTTGCTTCCCATGTTTGCTTCTATGTCAGGCTCTGTTCTTGGTTTTTGAAGGAAGGGGAGGTTGGCAAGGGTGTGTGTGTCTGTGTCAAGTGGTTTTGGACTTGGCATATATCTATGGAATAAGTGGGAAAAGGTGGGGGCATAGAATATTTTGTGGCAGAGAAGAAAGGTTTTTGGGAAACCTAGGGAAGGAAGAGTGGACTCACTTTCTTTCTTGCCCTTCGTCTAATATTGCCATCATTTTTACTTCTTAATTACTATCTTGCACTTCTTCTGCTTCATAAAAGTGCAACAATGGTTTCTCCAAGAATGTATTTTATAAGCAGCTCCTTTCAAAGCGAGCAAGCAAAAGTTACTACTAACTAGCATTTAAAAAAAAAAACACTAATAATGGAATGAAGATGTAATTATAGCATTAAAAAATGATAATGAATTTAACGCATTTTTAATATTTTACTTGATTACTTGTTCATTAATGTGTTTTTCTCCGTGACATGAATGACGCTAAAGAACAAGAACAGGGAGAAACATTGGTCACATTTAGTGTGTGTGTGTGTGTGGCCTCGCTTCAATAATTGAATATGGGGGCGAAGCAAGGCTTATTGAAAAGGACAAATGGTTTTTGGAAAGATAGAGTTAGTACCGATATTTCATAGTCATGGTTTCCCCACAATAATGATCCTTGTTGGTTTCTATTTTCCTTCGCAGAGAGTGTGAAATAAAATTGAACACTCAATTACTTCTCTTGTTACTATGATAATCAACCAGGGATGAGAATGACTGGGGACACGTGATGCCCACTTGATTGTGGAATTTAACGACACGTCATCTATAAGTTTTACAATGAGATTTGTTTCGTCAAATTGGTTCCAAATATCTATAAAGAAGAAACACAAAATAGGGGATTAAACTGGAATCTCCGAAATGAATGAATAGACAACGTAGTGTGATGTTAACTTTTGGGTTGTTAGGGTTTAGGCGTGGAAAGAGATCACAAACAAGCCAGAATGTAACACGTTGGAAAACGTGGGTGATTTTCCAAGGGCAAAGATGAAATTACAAATGTATATGAAGATGAAGAAAACAAGAAAAAGAGATTGAACTTGACTAGATAGTACACCATCCAAAATACTGTAACAATATTTTATCATAAATTTCATTATAAAACCATAAATTAAATATCAGGATATTGGATGGATGAATTTCGCTTGGTTAATTCGTTTCCATCTGTAACAGTGAATCCTTCACAAAATTCTGTGATGGCGTAGGAGCTCGTAAACGAAAATATCAGAAAATTGGGAAGGGTAATTTCGCAATTTGTGGGGAAAGCGATGGCGAAAAAAAGGGAGCAATGACAACTCAACATATTCCAAACTGAGTCACATTTGATAATGGCGTCACCAATGCCGTCATTTTCTCATTGATGACGTAAGCTCTCTGGAATTTTTGGAAAATTTCCTTGTAAATGATGTCAGCATCATATGCAAGGGGATGTGGATAAAACAAGTGGGTCCCGCAGTTACTAGAAGTCTTGTACTAGTCCTTCTTTCAGACTTTTCACATACTTTCATTTCTTTTTTCAAAATTACTTTTTTTTTTTCTAATGGGAAAAGTTTGGTGTCCGTTAAATCTTTGACTTCGTAAGACTTTTATTAGAAGATCTTTTATTTAAAAATTAACTAATGACAATTTTCTAATATTTTATTAAAGAAGATGTTGCATTGGCAACCAGTAAAAACATTCTCTCTTCAATTTTTAATCTTAATCGTGTTTTTAGAGGGAAGTGGTGTTAATACTGGAGGCTTAAAATAAATAAATAAAAAAAGTGGAGGACACATATGATGTTTCCCGAATTGGATTGACCAGAGCCGTTTCACGTGGTTTGAAATGTTGACCAAGAAAAATAATTTTCATATTTAACATATTCATATCTATAGAACAGCATTTAGAGGAAGACAAAACTAAGTTGGATATTGAATTTCATTGATAATTATTCATGTTTGGTTTATTAATGTTGTTGTTGTTGGATGTTTTACAGAACAGTGTCGAGGGGAAGACAAAACCAAGTTGGATATTGAATTTGTTTGATAATAAAATTCTTCCAAAGGCTTTTCTCTTTCTAAACGCAACCAATTCAAAGTTGGGTTCTAAATCTGATTGTAGTTCTTCAAAGTTTGACTAAGAACCTGAAAAAATGTTTTATGTAGTCCTTTTTTTAATTTTATTTTTAGGGTGGTGGGGGCATGAAGGGAAGACTGAAGAAAACATAGTTTGCTTAAATTGAGAAGATTATATAATTTTTACCAACGCATTGCTTCTAGACGAATATGAACAAAAGCATTTAAAAATCGCAAATCAAAGTATTTTTGAACCATTTTGGAGGTACGTCAGAGATCGAATCTACAAAATAATTAGGTTGTTGAAGTCAATACAAAACCTTGTCTTAAAACATCAAACTAATTAATAATCGAATAATAAAAAAATAAACTAGTCGCTAAATTTTAAACTTGTTAGTTTATGTTATATTAAACATTTATATTATCAATCAATTTAATTTCTAATATTACAATGATATCAATTGAATGGTTGGACTTTATTATTGTCAACTAAACTTGTCTCTGTAAACAATAAAAAATAAAAACTTCTGGGATTAAATTAACTAAAAAAAATTGTCTAAAAAATGAGCTGGGCGAAACAATACAAGATCATGAAGTGCAATTGGGTTTAAATTAAATATGAAAATTTTGAAAAATGAATAGAAAGTGGATAGAAGAATTGAATGGTCAATTTGGATAAAATTGACAAAAATAAGTATAGAGAGGAAAAGATATTTGAGGAAAAAATTGTGGAAAGGAGATAAGAGGTACAGTAAAGATTCAAATATTCGATTTCTGATATCGAAATTGAAGAGAACAGTTATATCTGCATATGAGAACATTAAGTAACGGTTGTTAAACCATTTTTGGTGCTTATGTAATGTAGGTTATAAATAGAACTAAGTACTTAAGACAAGGGGGAAAAAGAATCAGTTTATAACAGAAATTTATTGTACAAGTCTACTAGAGAACAACGACAATCATGAAATTTCTAGTAATCTGGGTTTCACTTTCATTGATCTTTATTATTGCTTTCTTTACTTTCTCTAATAATTTATTCTCATGCAATTTAAGTTTATGCATTACTTTTTCATTTCTTCATCTATTTAACTTTCTGTATTTCTTTCAAATCAATTTAATCAAGTTCACGTAGTCATTTTCTCTCTATTTTACTTCTCTAATTTTCTATGTATTCTCATTTCCATGAGTTTAGGTTGTCTTTCATTTTATGTCATTTACATTTTTAATTTCATTTTAATCTATTTAAACTTTTCAAAGTCTTTAAAAACTTTCTCTTTTAATTTTAATGAATACAATTTATTTATTCATTGTTGTTGAGCAACATTTCTTTCAATTAGATGTAGTTGTTTATTTGAGCAATGTTGATGTTTTTATGCTTTTAAATTTGTTGAAAGTCCCACATCGCCTACTTCATGTCATTTGGTATGGTTTAAATACATGTTAGGCTACTCCACATATCGTCAATCGGTTTTATGTTGGAACCTTAACATGGTATCGAGCCAAAGCCTAACATCTTTCCTAGGTTATTGTCATGGGTCAAAAGTACCCTTTGCACTGGTCCGACGTGCTTCGTTGGAGTGGTGTGTTGAAAGTCTCATAAGCGCTTACTTCATGTCATTTGGTATGGTGTAAATACATGTTAGGCTACTCCACATATTGTCAATTGGTTTTATGTTGGAACCTTAACAAAATTCATTATCATTGTTTCGTACTTAAATTTATCATCTCTTATATTGTTGATTGAAAAACTTAGTTTGATAACTTAAATAAAAAGAATTCACAGTGGTTGAAAATTGGTTAAAACATAAAATCTTTGGAAATCAAAATAAAACCAAATTTCACAAGTAACAAATTGGCACGCCCAGTGGGACCAGTGTGTTAATACACACAAAATTGGCTAGTTCAAAAGTATATGAGATTAAGGAGTGAACGAATAGTAAGAATGAATCAAAATTCACAAAATAATCAAAGCAATATGGGAGTTCCTAATAGCCCAAATCCACCAAACATCAGGGGGCAAGTTCACAGTGGAACTATGCCTATAGTATCATCGAATGTGAGTACATCGATTCCAGTGAATAATGAACAAAGTCAAGGAGCATTAACAAATACCCAATCAATAGGGTCTGAGATTATAATGGCAAATAATATGCAAACTATGGGAAGTCCCGTAACAACATATGCAGGTCCATATATGAAGACGAGACCACCTGGATTTACTTTTAATAATATGAATAGGGCTGGTACTTCAGTGCAACGAAATATGAGACCAAACCTAGGAATGCCCTAAAACCTAAAAGTGTTTCAAACCTTAGGAATGCCTCAGAATTTTGGAACATCCCCAAATTTAGGAATACCCCAAAATTCAGCAACACCTCAGAATCCAGGAAATACACAAAGTTTGGGGACACAATAGATGACTCCAATTCCAAACCAAAATACTCCTATACAAAATAAAAATGACAGAAAATTTGGACCATGGGAGGTATGCGTTTGATAAAGATTATCATCGATACAATTTCAATGTTGTCGAAAACGCTAGTCCTGGAATTTCCAGTAATTCATTGGAGGTGTTTCGACAACAAATGGATGAAAGTAATTTTGAAATGGTCAATATATTGTTATAACAATTTACTACAATATTAAACTCATTAGCCCAAAACACTACAACAGTTTTGAAATATTAGCTTATCAAATGGCACGTATCGGGGATGCATTGGCAATACCTCGACAAACGAGGGATGAGAATAATGTTAATCAGAATAATAACCAAAACACCAATACTGATCCCCCTCGTTTATTAAGGAGAAATCAAAATGTTGACCAATATCTGCATATGAGGAATGATGCTCAAAGAAATTTAAATGGTGGATTTCAGAATGTGTATAATCAAAATAACATGCAGTACAATCATTTGTTGGGACGAAGGATGAATCCTCAAGGGATGGAATTAGGGCCACTTAATCAACCCTACTTTGTTTCTCCTTTTCC